GGCCTGACCAGTGCCGCATAGATGGGGAGGATCACCTCCTTGGTCCTGCTTGAGATGCATCTGTGGATGCACGACAAGGTACAGTTGGCCTTCCTAGCCGCCTCCCCACACTGCCGAGCCATGTTCATCTTGGAGTCAATAATGACTCCAAGATCCTTTTCCACCTCCGTGCTGACAAGAGGGGAGTTCCCCAGCCTGTAGGTATGGTGCCGGTTGTTCCTCCCCAGGTGCATCACCTTGCACTTGTCTGTGTTGAACCCCATCCTGTTCTCCTCTGCCCATCCTTGTAACCTGTCAAGGTCCGACTGTAGCCTGTTGCTCCCTTCTATTGTGCCGACATCCCCCCACATCTTGGTATCATCAGCAAATTTGAACAGGGTGCTTTGCACCCCCTCATCCAAATCACTGATGAAGATGTTGAACAGGGCGGGCCCGAGGACCGAGCCCTGCGGGACCCCACTGCCCACGTCCTTCCAGGCCGAGAAGGACCCATCCACTACCACCCTCTGGGTGCGGCTCTCTAGCCAGTTGGCGACCCACTGGACTGTGTGGGTGTCTACGCCACAGTCCCCCAGTTTCCTAATGAGAACGGGGTGAGAGACAGTGTCGACAGCCTTCCGTGAGGCAGCAGGAACTTCCTGGTGCAGTAAGACAGACAAAAGGCTAGGCCTCAGACCCTTGCAAGAGCAGTAGCAAGTCTTTTACTTTTTTTCTGTATTTAATTGACTATTTAAGTTCATATAGATAATAGTGTTGTTTACCATAAGCTTCATCGAGACGTAGCAGCTCATTTGCCCTGACCTGGCTCAACTGCTGCTTCAGGCAGATACTGCAGTGTTCAGCCACTGCTATAGTTGTGAGAGGCTTAACATAGGACTCTGCCCCTTCTGTTTGCTGGGGCCAGAGGGAAGTGGAAGCCATCTTGGGAGCCATTACAGCACAGTCTGTGTTCTTCAATTATGTTTCTTCTGGGGAAGAAAATTCAGATTCCCCGCTTAAGACATGCATGCCAATTTCAGAGGGATGATTTTGAGGAAATGTGTGTGGGGTTAGGGGGGGTGGTAATGTGAGTAAATATGGTACTCTTATTTTGCACAGTTGTCATATATGAACTAATTGAGCACCTCCTTAAAAGAAAAATATCTTACCCGTTCCCAGCTAAAAGCCAGACCTAGTGCATTAAGCTGCTCCTTCATGTGTTGAATATTACTGTAAAACAATAAAAACATGAATCTTTAAAATATTAATATTTTTATTAGAAAATACACTTGCAATCAAATGCTGGTCAAGTTCTCTTAATGTAAAGGCATTACATTGTTGCTAAATACTATTACTATAAATACTCCAACTCAAATAGTTGTGCGATAGGCAAACCCATCTAAGTTAACCACTTCAAGTGCATTTTGATTCAAAATTCCAAAAATATCTGTGCTGATTTGTGCTCTAATCTAGGGTACAACCAAAGAGTGGACATTCTTTGCCTTCATTTTTCTGAGCAGGGACCGGGTCATTCCCCCCCCTCCACTGGGACCCCCGTAGGCCCCAGGGGAGGTTTACCCAGGCCTAGGGTCAGTGAGGACCTAGTCAGGGAACTTCTGGAGGGACTGGACGTATTTAAATCGGCTGGTCCTGACGATCTTCACTCCAGAGTGCTGAGGGAATTAGCAGAGGTCATTGCGGGACCCCAGCACGGCTTTAAGAGCACTCATGGTGCTCTGGTGTGGTGCCAGATGACTAGAAACGGCCAATGTGTTCATTCGAGGCAGGTCCTGTCAGACCAACCTGGTCACCTTCTATGACCAGGTCACAAAATCCTTAGACACAGGCGAAGCAGTGGACGTAGTCTTTCTGGACTTCAGGAAGGCCTTTGACACTGTCTCTCACCTCATTCTCATTAAAAAACTAGGGGACTGTGGTGTTGACACCTACACAGTCAAATGCGTCACTAACTGGCTGGAGGGCCGCACCCAGAGAGTGGTGGTGTATGGGTCATTTTCGACCTGGAGGGATGTGGGCAGTGGGGTCCCCCAGGGCTCAGTCCTCGGACCTGCACTGCTCAACATCTTCATCAGCGACTTGGATGAGGGGGTAAAAAGCACCCTGTTCAAATTCACAGATGACACTAAGATGTGGGGGGATGTCGGCACGCTAGAAGGGAGGAATAGGCTGCAGTTGGACCTAGACAGGTTACAGGGGTGGGCGGATAAGAACAGGATGGGTTTCAACACTGACAAGTGCAAGGTGCTGCACCTGGGGAGGAAGAACCAGCAGCATACCTACAGGCTGGGGAACTCCCTTCTTGTCAGTGCAGGGGCAGAAAAGGATCTTGGAGTCATTATTGATGCCAAAATGAACATGGGTCGGCAGTGGGGGGACGCGGTCAGGAAGGCTAACCGTACCTTGTCATGCATCCACAGATGCATCTCGAGCAGGTCCAAGGAGGTGATCCTCCCCCTCTATGCGGCACTGGTCAGGCCGCAGTTGGAGTACTGCGTCCAGTTCCGGGCGCTGCACTTCAGGAGGGATGTGGACAACATGGAGAGGGTCCAGAGGAGGGCCACTTGCATGATCAAGGGCCAGCAAGGCAGGCCCTATGAGGAGAGGCTAAGGGACCTGAACCTGTTCAGCCTCCACAAGAAAAGGCTGAGGGGGGATCTAGTGGCCATTTACAAACTAATCAGGGAGGACCAGCAGGCATTGGGGGAGTCCCTGTTCCCCCGAGCACTACCAGGAGTGACAAGGAATAACGGTCACAAGCTGGCAGAGGGTAGATTCACACTAGACATCAGGAGGCGCTACTTCACTGTCAGGGCAGCTAGGATCTGGAACCAACTTCCAAGAGAAGTGGTGCTGGCTCCTACCCTGGGGGTCTTTAAGAGGAGGCTTGATGAACACCTCGCTGGGGTCGTTTGACCCCAGTACTCTTTCCTGCCATGGCTGGGGGTCAGTCAGAGTTGATGATCTGCTCAGGTCCCTTCCGACTCTACCAACTATGAAACTATGAACTTTAAAAAACCCCCCAGCAATTCTGTTTTGTGGGGAATACCCTATTGCTGCTTTCCATTATAATGTATTAGTTGTACTGCAACAGAGAGTCTAGGGACCATACGTATGTATTACAATAAGACAGCCCCTGCTTCCAAATTGCTTACATGCAAAACAACAACGTTCATTCAAGCATTTTAAAGCTAGAAGTGACCAGTATAATTTCTAGTCCAACATCCCACAGAACATATATCACAGAATTTTATCCAATTCAGCATATGTTCAGATATGCCCACTCTTGATACCCTGAGCAACAAAGGCACCCTTCCTAGAATAATCAGAATTGCAGAACAAATTCACCACAGAAATAGTGGGAGAGTAATTTGAGTAAGCCAGGAGTATAAGTCCAGGTTTGTTTTGGAAAAGGTTTTTTGCAGAGCTATTCCTATATAGCATACCCTCCTGGTGCAGACACAGCTTCTACTAAAAGAAAATGTGTCTTTGTGGATATAGCCCCCTTAAGCAGGGAGCTGGATTAGATCACCTTGCGAGGTCCCTTCCAGCCCTACTTTCCAATGATCCTAATCCATACCAATTCCCTGAACAAAATTAACCATACCAGCAAAAGCACCTCCCTCCTGACATCACTGTATCCACACCACCACTTTTGCCAGGACAAAAAGTGCCATTAAAAATATCATCTCTCAAAGGATAATTTTATACCAACAGAATCTTCTGTTGAGTATAGCCTTGGTCTTTGTTTGCTTTAATAATAAGGATGGAGCAAGAAGAGACACAGCAGCCACTTGGATCTATTTTAAATGACTAATATTGGGTAATTTAATGATGTTCTGAAATTAGTAGAAATCAGGACAATAGAAAATGCAAATGTTGTTTCAGTTTTCAGGTGCTTCTGTAAGTAGTCTCAACAATGAGGTGCTCATTTGTTTAAAAACAGCTATATTTGTATAAAATTTCTATGCTATTTAAATCTTAAACAAGGCAGTAGCATATGCCTGCAAGGTTAGACAGACTTACAAAACCAACTTGTGACAGAAAATATTTGCATATAATGCAAAAAGAGCTCCCACACACACAAAAAAAAATCAATCCTAACCATCTTGTAATAAAAAAGACAGACTATGTAGCAAATGTAAAGGTTACTTGTTTAACCCCCAAGCCCACAGAGAAAGGAGGAAGGAATCAGGAATGCTAAAAGTGAAACTTCCATAGCAACATCAATTTGCTAATATGCATGCATTTGCATTTACAGTCAGGTATTATAAGTGTCAGGACAAATAACTGCACGGTGTGGGCAAGCTAATATTATTGAGAGACTTAACTATAGCAGTCCCCAAGTTTTATGAGCTCAAATACATAAATGAAATTGCTTCATTAGCAGTTTACATTTGAAGGCCACCAACAGACGCTCATTTAAAGGCACAATAGGATCTGATCCCTGATCCTAACAACCACACCTCCTGCCATGTGACATGTGCATGGCAGGATGCATGACTTCAGGATTGGGGATCAGATCCCAATCATGCCCTATTTGTCATCATGATCCCAGGCTCCCCCTGAACTGGCAAACTGAAAACTGGGTTTGCAACAATCAGCTGATTGTTGGTTGGCTCTGGGACTCCAGTGGGGCCAGTTTGAGCCCTGGTGTGGTCCCAGAGCCAGCTGACTGTTGTCCAGTGGGAACTGTATCAAGCTGGTTTGAGTCCTGGTACGGTCCCAAGCCAGCCAATGATTAGCTGATCATCAGCCAGCAGTAACCACACAGGGGCCAATTTGGAGCCCCAATGCGGCCCTGGATCCAGCCAACAATCAGCTGACTGTCATTTTGATGAGGACCGCTCTGGGACCAATTGGAGACCACAATGCAGTCCTCATCCTGCTTCACATTTAATTTAAGGTGTCATGGAAATCAGACAGAAAAATAATACACATTTTTGTGGCTGGTTTCCCTTTGTATGAAGCCATTAATTATCTGAATATTTGTCAAGGTTCCTATTTAGGATGTGATAAACAGACTAATTGTGTCTTACATATAACATCTATGAGGGGCCAAAGAAAAAGAGAAACAAAACCTGCCTGAGCTGAATTAGCAGGAAAAAGGTGCTTCTGACAATAAGACAGCAGGAACAGAAGAAACCTGGGTTCAATTTCTTTCTCTACCACAAACATTTTGTGTCACTTAGCCCACAGCTAGACTGAAAGCCTACCCAACTGGAGTGCAGCGCCCCAAATTAGAATCAGCACAGCTACCCCTGCATGATGCTATAGGTAGGCTAGCTAGCACTGTTGGATGACAGTGACAATTAGCCAACTCTTACGCTGCCCACAATACCACATGGATGTGGAAAAACTTCTGCTTCAGGACATAGCCCACACAAGCATAGCAGTGTATTTGAGGGTAGAGGAGAGGCCATGGAGAGGCCTCTGTCTGCTCTGTACCTGTTTCACACTTATAAAATGAGGATAACAATACTTCCCTATCTCACAGGTGTAGGACAGTGACAGATGCCATAACAGTTCATTAGATGGACATGTTTTGCATTCAGGATACATTAAATTTATCAGGGAAGATAGTAAACACTAATTTACTGCCCAGCTTCTCCAGAGATAAAAAAGCCTGCAGTCTACAATACTATCAACTGTGCATTTGCCCAGATGGGAAACACTGGGCAGTACATTAGAGCTGAGTGTCTATGAAACTCATCTACATGCTCAGTAGTGCACAATTTCTTTTTAACTGTTTTCAAGTGCAATAATACTGACTGCCATGCATGGTGTATTATGTTTTTTTTTCTCTCTGTCTTTAAAGAAAAAAAAATAAACACAGTTCTTTGTATCATCCTAGATGGCCATTTGTTTTCATCTACATTCTTCTCCAGATAACATCAAAAGAAAAATACAAGAACGAATATGATACTGTCACACTTATAGGCTGCACTGTGCCTTTTACAGCTCCGGATGTGCTACTCTACATAATATCCTTCCCTGAAAGCCCCCCTCAGACCTTTTGCTTTTTAGTCTCCTTTGATAACACCTTGTGTTATCAAATCAAAATTATTTATATAAACTTATCACCTTATCACCTTTGATAACACCTTGTGTTATCAAATCAAAATTATTTATATAAACTTTTAATCTTTTAACCAACTGTACAGGGAGCTGGGTGGCATAGGTGCTCAGGTGGACAGTTGACAGCCCAGAGGTCACAAATTTGAGGCCAGAGAAGTGTTCATGGCATAGCCTGCCAGAGTCCAATGAATCTGTGAATTCTGCTAAATACCTTGTCACAAGGACATAAAAAGTAAAGGAGCAACTATATAGACTCATAACTATCCATCTGTCCAAAAGACAAGCAAGTAGGCTCCTTCTGAAGTTACATTTCTCCATTATTAAACACTGTTTTGGCTTTATTTGCAAGGCCAGAGTACAATTCCCTCTTTATAGAGCAAATCTGGTAGTATTTAAGCTGTTAGAAATACCTTTGTGTCCAGGTTACTGGGTGCAGCCCATGGTCAATTGCAGCATTTTCTGCAGGCAGTCCAAAAGCATCCCATCCCATTGGATTTATCACCTGTAACACAAATGAAAAGTATTATTCTTTGTCACTCTCTGGAATGGAGCCAGCCACACCTTCAGGGCTCAAAATAATGAACAATATTTCACATTTCAGCATTTACTTTCCCAGGTTTGAGTCATTCTAAAATATGCCTGCTGGGACTAGTTCAGTTTAAATGCAAGTATATGAGATATGTCTGCTGTCATTTTGGTGGCAGACAGAATGTGAACGTAGACTTAAGTAACTGCTAAACAACAGATCACTCACATAATACATTCTGGTCACTTATTTCAAGGCTGGGTTATCACCACCACCACCAACCCTGTGTAATTCATGCAATATTCTAACCAAGTACTTGATATTCTGACTGAGAAAGCTGCTGTAATACAAATTTTTGTATTAGAGGAAGGTGGAAAGGACAGAAAAAAGTATTTAAAAACCATTTTCCATAACTAAACTGGCTGTACAGCACTGGCTCAAGTCCAAATCTGAAATGACAGTGTTTATATTTTTTCGTTAGGTTTAAGTGAAAAGATGGAAACAAAGGGTTTCAAATACCTTGAATGGAGTTTTCAGTTAAATTTTGTGAAAGTATGAATTTTAGCTGAAGACTTATATTCAACATATTTTAGAAAGATGCCAGATATACAGAAGCTGAAAAGATGAGCTTTACTTGGGAGACAAAAGCCTACTACAAAAGTTAACTCATTGTAGCGTAACATATGTATCTCTTTTCCACTATTATACAACTGATTTAATAAATAAAAACTATTCAGCGGCACAATGTATTTTCAAGAAACTTTTTACCGCATGAAAAGAATGGTCTGGCTCACCCCCAAAATATTGTGGCTGTCAAATATGTTTATATACTATTTTTCTCACAAGTAAAAATATGCTACGAAATACAGCAATTATTTAGAGAGAGACCAATAGCCATGTGTGCTAGAAACAGGCCTACAACATCCATATAACACCACAATTGGATGTACATTAAATGGCATATGAAGAATTGTTCTGGGCTCATTACTGAGAGTAGTAAGGGTCAAACAGTGCAAGGACAGAAAAGGGCAGGTCCCAGCACCACTACTCATGCTCCCAAGTGCAAAGACTGAAGCTCAGGTCTGCTGATGGCTACAGACTTCCAAAATAGGTAAGATGCCATTCTTGCATGTGCCCCTCTCTCCTAGTGCCCCACAGATGGTGTGCTTCGGTGTAGTATGAAGCATATCTTTATATACCTCACTTAACAGCCTCATCATAACTCTAATCCCCATTTCAATAATACATGTGCAATCAATGCACACTGTGCCTTTCTAATTAAGTCTACCTTGCAACAATTTAATATAATTAATATACCACCCTCCAAAATGTTAGCTGCTCACATAACTTTTCTCACCAACCACTGGCATCTCTCTTAATGAGTAAATCCACTACAAAATACTTTCCATTAGCAAAAAATACATGTTTTGAGCTAACAAATGCTATAGGCAATTTTAAAATTAAAGGACTAAAGAAAAATGTAAATTCAAGTTCCAGTAAGAAAATATCCCCAAATTAATCTCTAGGTTAGATCTGTTTGTATAGTTTCCATAGAGACTAATGTAGTACATACAATATATTAGAGAAGACTATTTCAAGTTCATTATCTCTCTCACTTCTCTGCTGTGAATGGATTTGGAAGGGTTGTGAAATGCAATTGTCTAAAAAGTAATAGGTCAGTTCCTTCTGACCAGAATATGTGATATGAATCTATAGTTAAGATGCAATACTCCTCACGCAGGACTCAGTATTGTACTTAGGCCCCCCTCTACATGTTACAGGTATTGGACAGGTATGGTTAATTCCAGTTACCTTGAGAACCAGCTACATGTGCAAAGAACATATCATGCCATAAAAATCTCCAACCAACTACCAAGTTAGACCTTGAAAAGTTAACTTTAAAGTTAGACTTTATAGCTGGTTGGTATCAAGCTTTAATTTGACATGTAGCAGGGTCTCCCCTGTGGCTGGGAGCCCCAGAAGCTGCCAACGTTAGTCACGGCAACACCCTGCAACTGCTGGGACTGAGTCCCGCAGCTGTGGATGCTGGGTCCCAGCAACGCACCTCCCAGTGCTGGGACTAAGCTGGGTCCCAGCAGCCATAAGTGCAGCTGCGATCTCCCAGCCCCAGGGGTCTCATGCACCCTAGAGACTGGGAAACTGCAGCTGCTCTGATCTCCCAGCTGAGGGGGTTCCCTGCTGCGGGAACTTACTTCTTGCCAGTGCAGAAGGAGCCTGGAATCAGCTCCCCCTGCCCCAGCAATAAGTTATGATGGGACCTAATGTGTGATCTCACAGTCATGCCTCCAGGCAGCATGTATGGCATAACAGGAGGTGCAATTGTGTAGATCATGCGTTAGACCCCAGTTGTGCCTTTACCTGCATGTGCAGAGGAGCCGTCAAAGTGTGTTCTGTTAACACAAAGTACACAAAAAGACACCAACTTGGCTGAGTACAATTCCCAAAGTACTGAAATACAGGCAGAAATCAGACAGATTAGTGCAAAGCAGAAGGAAGTGTATATATATATTTAAAAAAAAATCAACCTGGATGTCAGAAGGGGCTATACATTTAGATAATGCAAGGATAGTTAAAAAGCAAAAAAAGAAGAAAAAATAGGAACCAGGCATTTGAGAAGACATATGGTACTCCCACCAGTTGCTTAGTGCCTGAGTCATAGTCCCCAGCTATGAGAAAAACATTATTTTCCCCAGAATTACAGATGAGCAATTGAAAAGCAAGAAATAAATCACTTTCTTATATTTTGTCTTGACTTTCCATAACACAAGTTCACTTGGTTATAAAGTTGACCACTAATACTCAATAGGAGAAATCACTCACCAAGGAGCCCCTTCTCAATAAGGCTTTTCAAGACACGGGATCTTTATTCTCTTAGCCGAAAGGTAAAAAGAAAACTAATAATGGACTTTTCTCCTCACTCAAGTTCTTTGCAGCAAGATTTCAGCTCCAATAAAAAATACTGCCAGAAGAACTCCAGTTTTGACAGCAAGACGTCACACATTCACGCTCAAAGCCTCCTTGTGACAGCAAAATCCTCCATGCTGCCACTGGAGTTACACCACCTTTGCTGAGTGAAATAGTCCTTCTGCCATTGCCCTGCAGCTGGCTTAAGGCAAGTGTAGACCTTTCCACAGCATCAGCCAATTACTTTGGTCTATTAATCAGCTGAAGCCTTTCCAGAGTGTATTTGTACTCTCATGGCACTCTCATGCTGATTGGAGCCATACAGAGCTAGCAGAACTGCATGGGTGTGCACCCCGTGGTGGTTTGGTGGTAGTGGCTATTGTCTGCCACCAAACTGCTAGCAGCAGAGGAAAATGAATGTAGCTACAACCTAAGTCTCCAGATACCCAACATCCCTGAATCTGAAGGTGAGAGAAGCTAGTATAAAGAACATTTAGAAAGGAGGAAATGAAGTGAGTTCTGAGGTGGTGGCAACCATCAATCTTTCTGGATCATGGTGTATGCATGAGGGCCACCCAGACCTCCGATGCAATTTTTTTTTTGGAGAAGTGGAGGCTGCCCAGGCCTTCCATCCTCCCTTTAGGCCACTGAGACAGAATCCAAGGACCAGACTGAGTCCAGATGTTTGATACTTCCATGGCTATAGTTGTATAAGAGTCTGGGTATCAAATCCAGGTCTCCTGTATGGTAGATAAGAATTCTACCACTGAACCACAGAGGACTCCTGAGTTCTGAGGTACCAAAGCTCTTTACAAAATAAGCTAGCACCACAATTACTTTCTTTCCACATCCTTCAAAACAGGTGTTAAAACTTAACAGGCAATGAGTGCAGTAACATGGAGAAGGGCAAGCCCAAAGATTTAATAACCTGATCCATAGCTTTTGCTTCTTCAGGCTAGCAATTTAAAGATCGGTATTCTATTACCAATGTCTAATCTTTTCTACAATGTCATAGAATCACAGAAAATTAGGGTTGGAAGGGACCTCAGGAGGTCATCTAGTTCAACCCCCTGCTCAAAGCAGGACCATCCCCAACTACATCATTCCAGGCAGGACTTTGTTAAGCTGGGCCTTAAAAACCATGAAGGATGGAGGTTCCCCACCTCTCTAGGTAACCTGTTCCAGTGCTTCACCATGCTCCTACTGAGAGCTTATCCTAATACCCAACCTAAACCTCCCTTGCTGCAACTTGAGACCATTGCCCCTTCTTCTGTCATCTATCACCACTGAGAACAGTCCAGCTCCATCCTCTATGGAACCTCCATTCAGGTTGTTAAAGGCTGCTATCCAATCCCTCCTCAGGCTTCTCGTCAGCAGACTAAATATACCCAGTTCCCTCAGCCTCTCCTCACAAGTCATGGGCCCCAGTCTGTTACACCCCCATGGTGCTAAAGGACTGCCAAAGCATAATCAACTCAGAGTTTAATGCACAATACATTTCACACAATTCAACTTAACTAAAATCTAACTTTATTAACACCTTAAATGCATTAATAGTTTCTACATAGAGAAAAAAACCCACTTAGTTCAATGGTCTCACCCAATCCCAAATGTTACTCTACTTCACAGAAAAGATGGCCAATCAGTTCCTGAAAGCAGAGGGTGGTCGGTTGTGGGTAATGGCTGTTTTTCAGTCCAAATTGTTGGATGATGACACACACCCAACTTCCTTGTTGCTCCCCTTTTATGCTATTTCTACTGATAACTCTTCATTTCTGGGTACCATTGACTGGTTTCTCTGTGAGAATCATACTGTTCATGTTCTTATCCTGTCAACATATGTCTTTGTTCTAACAAACCCATCATATACACACATCTTAATTTGGTCTTTTACCAATGTCTTAATTCACAGTAGGTCATGGCATAGAAACTGTATTAGTTTCAGGGCAGGAGCTCCCCACTTACCGCCGCCACTCTCCCACCCCTGCCACCGCTGCCGTGCCTCAATTGATACTACAAATGCTGCCTTCTGGAACCTAGTAGAGGAAGGT